AAGAGGCTGTCCTCACCCCACTGGGGCTCTGATATTTTATGACAGTCCCATTCCTGTCCTGATGCCCTCCTTCACCCTCTTGGGCTATGCTGTGCTGGACTAACCCTTGTACATGCAAGGCTATCTTCCCATTGGATGTCTTCCTTAACCTACTCAGGATCCAACACTGGGCCTTCCTCCTACACAGATGCCTTCTTTACCATCTTGGGCTCTTATACCACAGCTGGGCCATCCCTTTGTGCCTGGCCACCCTTCTCACCCTGTGCTGGCTCTGATGTCCCATGTTGGGTGCCCCCTCCCCCACCCCATGTGGACTCTTGATCTCAGGGTTGTGAGTTCAAGCCCCATGTTGGGCGTGGAGCCTACTTGAAAAAAAAAAAAAAGATCTTTAAAAAAAAGAGACAAATTGGGGCACCTGGGTGGCTCAGTCGTTAAGCGTCTGCCTTTGGCTCAGGTCATGATCCCAGGGTCCTGGGATCGAGCCCCACATCGGGCTCCATGCTCAGCGGGAAAGCCTGCTTCTCCCTCTCCCACTCCCCCTGCTTGTGTTCCCTCTCTCACTGTGTCTTTCTCTGTCAAATAAAGAAATAAAATCTTTAAAAAAAAAGAGAGAGAGGACACATCAATCAGATAATCGTGCTAATGAATGCATTATTGCAAATTGAGAACTTAATGATAAAAGGAAATATTATGTACTTTATATTTGCTGCTCTGTATTCCAAACTCCATGTATTAATTTAATCACATAAAATTATTTATTATATACAATATAATATGTATATAGTTTTATTATGCCCATCACTATTTTATCCATTTGCAGATAATGAAACTTAGGCAGAGAGAGGTGAAGTAACTTGTCCAAGGTCACACAGCTATTAAGTGGTATAGCTGGAATTCAAACGCAGATAGTCTGGTCCCTGCTTCTAACTACGCTGCTTCTCACAGTAGCTCTGAAGGAAAGAAACAGGCATCTGTGAGAACATCTAAGAAGAAAAAATGATTTAAAGTTTATTTATTTATTTACTTTTAAGTAATCTCTACACCCAACATGGGGCTCGAACCCAGGACCCAAGATCAAGAGTTGCACTCTTCCAGCTGAGCCAGCCAGGCATCCCAGAAAGAAAACTGATTTTTTTTTTTAAAGATTTCATTTATTTATTTGAGTGAGAGAGAATGAGAGATAGCACGAGAGGGAAGAGGGTCAGAGGGAGAAGCAGACTCCCTGCTGAGCAGGGAGCCCGATGCGGGACTCGATCCAGGGACTCCAGGATCATGACTTGAGCCGAAGGCAGTCACTTAACCAACTGAGCCACCCAGGCGCCCGAAAGAAAACTGATTTAGACAGACGCTTTCTGAGGGAGTACTACTTGAACGGAGACCCCAAGTTTGAGTAGGAATTAACTCTGCAAATTGGATGGTGGTGGTAGGAGTAATGATCATTCAAGCTTGATGACATAATGTGTAAAGTCCCTGAGGCAAGATGGAGCGTGGCACAGTGAAGAAACTGAAAGGCCAGTGTAGCTACATTGTAAAAAGCAAGGGGGAAAGTGGGATATTATGTGGCTAAAGATGTAGTCAGGCCAAGTGAAACAGGGTTTTATAGGCCCTTAAGGGTTTTGTTTTTCATCCTTAAAGCAAGGGGAAGTCATGGAGATGAGGGTTCAGAAAGTAGGGATCAGTTTCCCTTTGAAAAGATTAGTTTTACTGCAGTTTAGACAATGTGTTGCAAAGGAGTTCACAAGTGCATGTGGTGGTGAGGGTGGTGGTGTCTCCAGGGGGGTAAGTTGATTTAGGGTGGTGGCAATGGAAATAGAGACAAATGGTGGGATTTGGAGAAATATTTAGAAAGTCAAATTGACGGGACTGGGTAATAGGTCGGAGATGAAGGGCAAGAAGTTGTAGGTTTCGGGGCACCTGGGTGGCTCAGTCATTAAGCGTCTGTCTTCGGCTCAGGTCATGATCCCAGGGTCCTGGGATCGAGTCCCACATCGGGCTCCCTGCTCCGTGGGAGGCCTGCTTTTCCCTCTCCCACTCCCCCTGCTTGTGTTCCCTCTTTCACTGGGTCTCTGTCAAATAAATAAATAAAATCTTAAAAAAAAGAAGTTGTAGGTTTCAAGGATGACCCCCTCCCATATCCAATCTGTTAGTAAAATCAGTTAATTTATCTTCTAAATGTCTTTCTTTCCAGTGCAACTAAGTGAATGGTAACAGCATTTTTTTTTTTAAAAAAAGGATTTTATTTATTTATTTGAGAGACAGTGTGAGCAGGAGGGAGAGGGAGAGAGAATCTGAAGTAGACTCTGGTCTGAGCACAGAGCTTGACCCGGGGTTTGATCTCACCACTATGAGATCATGACCTGAGCTGAAACCAAGAGTTGGACACTCAACTGACTGAGCCACCCAGACACCCCAGTAACAGCATTCATTGAGGTAGGGACTGTGGAAGAAGGTGAAGAGGTTTAGGGAGATTATTGAGTCTTTGACATGCAGAATTTGAGGTTCCTTTGAGACATTCATGTGGAGATATTAAATAGGCAGTTGTCAGATGGATCTAGACTTCAAAGGTTAGACCTGGGTCGAAATTATACACTTACGAGCGAACTATCATTGCATGCATAGCAAATAAAACTGTAGCATGGATGAGTTTGCCTAGGGGCAAAGAAAATGGATTGAGAAGATAAGTATTTGAGAAAGTCTAACATTAAGTAAGAGTGAGGAGTACAGGAAAGGGCTAACTTAGGCCTGGATGGCTTAAACCCCTCACATTCCATAGAAAGGCCTGTCTTTAGTCAAACTGGTGCTTGACTGACTCCTAAGAGATAGTATCTGAGCCCTTGAAATACTCTAATGAGAGTGTTTTGTATGCCTGAGGCCTGGGCCATGTTGTATCAGTTTCACCTCTGTAGGCTGGAGACCAAGTAGCTGGGGTCAGTTAGGTGGGTGCTCTATGCTTACATGACAGAGCCCCAATAAAAACCCTGTCCACCAAGGCTTGGGTGAGTTTCCCTGTTTGGCAACCTGCGTGTTGTCACATATCACTGCCGGGAGAATTAATACCTGTGCAATTCCACTTGGAGGGGACACCTGGGACCTTATGCCTCTTTCCTCCTGGATTTTACTCCATGTACCTTTTCCCTCTGGTGATTTTAATTTGTATCCTTTCACTGTAATAAACCATAACCATGAGTACAATAGCTTTTCTGAGTCCTGTGAATTCTTTTTTTTTTTTAAGATTTTATTTATTTATTTATTTGACGGAGAGAGATACAGCGAGAGAGGGAACACAAGCAGGCGGGGTGGGAGAGGGAGAAGCAGGCTTCCTGCCAAGCATGGAGCCCGATGCGGGGCTCGATCCCAGGACCCTGAGATCATGACCTGAGCTGAAGGCAGACGCTTAACGACTGAGCCACCCAGGCACCCCTCTTTGATTTTCATCATCTTAAGCCTTATGAGTACATAGTTTACAAATCTGTGCTGATGGTATATATCCTCTATTTTAATCCTTCTAATGAGTTGACAAAAACACCATTACAAATAATATATATATATGAGTTCTACAGTTTTATGTGTTTGTGAATAGCTGTTATAGTTGTTTAAAGACAATCCTTTTAAAAATTTTTTTTCTTTTAATTTTTAAGTAATCTCTACATCCAATGTGGGGCTCAAACTCACAACCCTGAGATCAAGTCACATGCTCTACCGACTGAGCCAGCCAGGTGCCCCAAGACAATCCTGAATTATAACTTAGTTTTACTTAGGTAGTAAAGGATTCAAAAGCAAAGTTTAACTTGCTATTATAGGTCATGCTGATTTTTAAAAGCATCTGATCTTATAGATCATTTATAAAATGTGAGAAGTGTTAAATATTCTTTGACATTATACATAAACCATACTAAAATGTCTTTCATTCAGTAAAAGGCAACATTTTGGATACAGGGAATTTTAATTGGCATAATTAAGACCAAAAGATAAACTGGACATTGCTACCTTATCTTTAGCTCTTTAACAGCCCAATGAACACACATTGAAAGACAGGTGAGTCTTGCTCAGTTCTATGAGACAGTGAAGGCATTTCCTCAGTATTTAAGTATATTAATATGGCCAATTATAGGGGCGCCTGGGTGGCTCAGCCATTAAGCGTCTGCCTTCGGCTCAGGTCATGATCCCAGGGTCCTGGGATCAAGCCCCACATCGGGCTCCTTGCTCTGCAGGAAGCCTGCTTCTCCCTCTCCCACTCCCCCTGCTTGTGTTCCCTCTCTCACTGTGTCTCTCTCTGTCAAATAAATAAATAAAATCTTTAAAATAAAAATAAAAAATAAATCAGAACTTTCCAACAAAAATATTCTGTTAGCTATTCAAGATCAGAATTCTAGTGTATGAGATCAATTTTTTTTTAAAGTAAGGTCTACTCCCAACATGGGACTTGAACTCAGGACCCCAAAATCAAAAGTTGCATGCTCTCTTGACTGAACCAGTCAGGTGTCCCTGCATGAGATCACTTAAAGTAAGTTACACTTAAAAGAAGTCGAGCCATTTCTGTTTTGTAAGAAATAAGGCAGTGGCCAACTATTACTCAATAGCTTTTTTGAGATAAGCTGTTAAGTCTGCCTTTTTGTCTTCTTAATGCTAGCAGATCAATTTTGTTCCAGGGATGTACTTCTTGGGATACTCTAAATACACCTCTCCCCAGGTGATGACTTTGTTCTTGTTGGTGTCCGGGAATCCAGGGGCCTGACAGGTCTTCTACCCAAATAAACAATGGAGATTTCTTGTGCTTATCTTCCTTTTCCTCGGTGTGGCGCTGGACTCACTTCTGGACAAAAATTTGCTCTTCTCAGCATCACCCCTTTTTATTTCCTCTTTCAACAATTGTGTTAGGAAGGTCCCTGCTCTGAAGCTGGACATCCCACTAAGTCCAAGGACGAGCTAAGTCCAAGGTGCATGTGCCCATGAAGTTGAGAAGTGAACTTTAAATCACAAAATTTCACCTTTAAGACCTGATGGCCTCACCCACTCATGAGTATAGTTTTATGACATTCAAGAAATGCCCCAAATCTCAATGGCAGTTCAGCATTCCTCTGCTGGCCCTCAGGCACTCTTCTGAAGCTCCTGCTATTGACCACACTTGCTTTGCCCAAGAGCTGCAGAACCGGTCCTTACAAGTGAGTCTCCACGCTGCTCTTGGGCTGCTGCCTTATTGTCGCAAACCTCCTGTGCCCAGCCAATGGATTATGCTCTTACCATCACCAATTCATGTAATGTCATTCACTTCTAGTGCTCGTTCTCTTTTCTGGACAACTGGGAAGTTTCTTCCACTTCCAGTTACCAACAATTTCAGGGTTTTTTTTTCTCCATAGCAGAGCTGCTAGGCACCTACAGATAGCTCTCCTTTATTTCAGAACTATTTTCTCATCATGCTCGTGCAAGAGGGTCAGAGGTAAAAGGCAGTCTTAGCCAGGGGAATGGCTGGGCACAGCCTCTATTTATACCCACTGCTCAGTTTAGCCCATAGCGTAATTTCTCTTTTTGAGATTTTTCTGAGGAACCTTTGTTTCTCCCTCCAGTTCAGTCCCCCTTTGGGTCTGCTTTTATATTCCTTTCAAGTTTATCATGTGCCAGGTACTGTAAGCACTTTACAAATATCTATTTGTCAAACAACCTTAAGGTAGGTCCTACTAGGATCAAACACCTTTTTACAAATGAGGAAACTGAGGCAAGTTAGGTAAGTTACCCCAAATCACACAGCTAGTAGGTGGTGGAATCAGGCTTCGAATCAGGCATTTTGCCTCCAGGGCATACGTTCAGTTCTATGCTATGCATTCTCCATCAGATGGGTTTGTGCATACGTGTCTCAGCCTCCTGAATGGTCTCGGTTTCTCCCCTAAGATTTCTGAGCTACCATTGCAAATCAAGGACGTACCTGGGTGTCTGTCTGCTGGTTGGTTGGTTTTTATTTATTATTTATTTATAAAGTAAATTCTACATCCAATGTGTGGCTTGAACTCACGACCCCAAGATCAAGAGTCACATGCTTTACCAACTGAGCCAGCCAGGTGTCCCAAGATGTACCTGGGTATGTGTTTGAATGTCCCCAAATATTCCATGACAACTTAATTCCAGGTACTGCCTTTTCAGAGCACACTGTAAATTTCATGAAGGGCAATTTCCTCTCTATAAAATTATAGTTTTCAAAAACACTTTTATACTAGATTTTAATAAAGGCAAGTGGTAGCAGGCATCAAAAAGTTGAGAAAAATTCAAGGAAGGAAAACTTGGATGAGAGATTCAGCCCCATTAACTTATTTTTTTGAAGCGAATTTGGAGAAAAGTCTTTGCTTTTTATTATATATACTCCATATTTCTCACCATCTGCACAGATACCATGCAGGTCCAAACCAGTATTCCTTGACTGTTCTATTAGCAGCCTAACTGGTCTTTCTTCCACTGTGAACCCCTACACGTCATTTCTCTATGAAGCAGCCACAGTGACTCTTCACTACTTTGAGTCTTTGCTCAAAACTCATCCAAGCCTTCCCATCTCAGCATCTTAAAACTAGGTTAGGAGAACTTGGATGTTCCAGCAGAGGAAATTTTTCCAAGGGGTACAAGTTAAGGATAGTTTTAAGGGAATTAGTCACATATATAAAAATAAATCACATGTGCACACATCTATATAGTTTTTTTAAATACAGTGCTTATTACACCTATAAAAATGAAAAATGGAATTGATACCGGACCCTGTCTCCTCCTAGTAATGTTATACACATCCAGGTCTACATGAACTAATTGAAAAAAAAAAAACAACAACTGCCAGCCATCTCATTATGACAATCCCAATAACTTATTTTCCATATTTAGTATTTATTTAACAAAATACAACATTTTAAAAAAAGATTT